TTAAAAAATTCTCCTAATAATTTAACGCTGTTTATCACCTGTAAGGAGTATAGAAACTTCTGCACTAAAATTTTAAAGAAAGCAAAAAGAGATTATGATGTTCAAGAAATAAGGAAAGCAGGTAAAACCCTAAAGCAATTTTGAATAATATTTAAAAAAAATGCATTCCACAATAAACAAGCATCATGTCAGTTACTTACACAAGCAATATCTCTAAAGCAATCATGTAATAATGTTAGCAAATGTTTGTTGATGTTAGAAAGGAGCTTGTGGACAATATAATCAAAGCTAATAATTTACCTCAGTTTAATTTCTCACAATCTTCTACGAGTATTTGTTTTGTTCTTGAAAAATCTAACACCGATGAAATAATTTCAGTAATAAAAAGTTTAAGGTCAACTTCTGCTACCGATTGGGATAGGCACTTCTCCTGCTATAATAAAAAGACACTTTGTTACGCTAGTAACCGTGCTAAGCCATATATCCAACCTTTGTTTCGAAATTGCTATTTTTCCAAATTCTTATGATACACCCACTCTTCAAGGGTGGTGGCGAATTCATCGGTGACAAACTTGCTGTTTCCTACGGTGTCCCTCAGGGTAGTATTCTCGACCCGACTCTATTTCTTGTTTTTATTAATGACTTCTGAAACCTTTACAATTGATAACACAAAAATCGTCTCTTTTGCAGTTATTGCATTCTGTGCAATATCTTCGACTTGGCTTTTAACTGGTCTTCACGGTGTTTTGCATTATATTTGTAAAAAGTATGTATGATATAAAAAATCAATAAAGAATAATTATTTACGTTAAACATGGGCCCAAAGACTGCAATAAAATAGTAAAACCCACGAACTTCGTACATATCTAATTAGAACATTCAACATATACTGCATGCCAATTAGCCAACTGCCATTTTCACTAACCGAACCTTTCTGTCTTCATATGGATGACCGCATACGCCAGACGTGAAATACTTTACCTGGCAGAGCAGTATCATTTTCCAATCCGTTTGCCAAGCAAGGCGATTAGGGCGAATTCTCTCTCCCACGGGAAAGGCCCATGTTCAGCAGTGTAGTTTTACGTGCAGATGAAAAAGATGATAACTAGAACCATAAAATAAAACAATCAACATGAATTAAGACACTGACTTATTAGTTTAATATGATACGAAAAAAAATTGATAAAATAAAACAATACAATTAACGTAAACTAAAATATTTGTTTATTATATTGATATAAAATAAAAAAGATCCATAAATAAGACAATAAAATTAGTATAAACTGACAGACTGACACTGAGATATTCGATTAACAAAATTTACCTATACCAAAACGTTTATGATATCCGTTCGCCGCTCTTTCGGTAGACGTTATTCAAATAGGACGGTATTCAAATAGATACAATAAAATTGTAGGCACTGTTATCTTGCAGAGGTTCAAAGAAATTTTGTTTCATCTCACTTTCATTTCTAAGTTTAATTTTACCATTACGTGATGTAAATTTTAAAAACAACTAAACAACTCAGCAGTTAGGTTTGGCATTATTTCGATAGTAGTTGCAATCGTCGTTAGGTTTGCTCTTCGTCTATCTGAAATCTAGAAATCTAACGGAGAACAAAGCCTTAACTAAAATTCCTGGTCACAATTATCGCATGAACGAAGTACATATGTTATAGATTGGATACCGCTCAGGCAAACGTAATAGGGTACGCCACAAGCACATATGTGATGTGTGTGAGTGGCGAACGGTACGGACGGTACGGTTACGGTATGGACCATATATAAAAAAAATTAGTAGCAAGTTAGTATGAACTGAATGCACAAAGCCGAAAATTGGGCTTAATGTGCGTTTTTTTTGTTGGGTTCGTACTTTTGCCAGTGTCAAGTAAAGAAAATCACACATTATAATTATTTGTTCAAAATTACCACAGAATATGAATGCACCACATTGCAGAGTTTTGGAGATTTTGGCGACAACTTATCTAACAGACATTTGATTATGCCATTGTTACTCAAGAGTTTTATATATAGGAGCATTTTTTTCGTCTTTTCCATTAATATTTCACATACGCAGACACTAAAAATATAAAATCGCATATTTTTTACATATCAAAAACTATCTTAAATTAAAACAAGAGCAACAATCCGCCGGTGACTAAGAACGCGCCAAGACTTGGCCTGTTTTTTCTGTGAACTCATGATGGTGGCGACGATGTTTTAGCACTTATTATTATCAGTATTGCTTGGTTTATATGATTTTGTAATGATACCAGAAACTCATGTACATTGCTTTAATCCGAATTCTCTTGTAAATAAATTACTACTATGTTAAAAATATTTTGATAAAGTGTAAAAAGTGTGAAAATTGGCACAAAAATACTCAACAGTACACAATCAATAAAAATGTACATAAGTTATTTCATAGTCGTACGATATGTTTACTTCCAATGTCTAAGCGGTTTTTCTATTGTTTTTTTTTGTTATAAGAAGCAATAACTAACTATTTTAAATCATTTTTTTATATTATTTATTCTAATATCATCTATACGTTTGAGTAGGTGATGAGATCTAAGTCAAACTTCATCATTTCAAGTTTTGTATCATAAAAAGTGTTTATATTTGTGTAAATAATGTATGTATGTCGAGTTATGAAAGCAAGTATGTAATAAATTTTAAGATTTATTCCATTTTATTTTTTTAACCATTCCTTTAATATCTACTTTTTTAATATACGTAAACTGAGAATCGTCTAAATATAACTATGATGGTGAGATCAGAGGCAACGGATGTTTCCTCGTTTGTGAACCCATACCTAACAAAAATGTAGAAATGACAACTTTTACTCCCCCCCACCCCTTATCATCAAAATGAAGAATAATTAAAAATAAGTTCCGCTGCTGAGTACAAGCCTCATCTCATTTCTGAAAGAGTTGTGAAGCAATTAGTCTGCCACACTGCTCCAGTCCTTGATTGCGGATTGCACGTGTCCTCGAATTATTTTATTCGTCAGACATGCATGTTCCCCATGATTTTCTTCTTCACCGTCGAGCGCGTAGTAAAGCATAAATTTAAATTGCAAGTAACAATTTAATGGATGCCGGTGGCGATCGAACTCGAGTTGAACTGGTTTCGATGACGTTGGTGCTGTTAGCCTACCCGGCTCTTACAACTTCATTTGATCGCATACTGTGATATTTAGTAGCGCTTAAAAAACTCCTCATAATTAATAATAACAAAAAACGTAGCTCTTTCTACGTCACTATTATAATGAAAATATAATAATTTACGCAGTTCAAAATAATATATTTAATATTTTATCTAGTAAACAAACATTACGAACGTCTGGTTCGATAGTGTGGCCGTCCAGAAATATAACATAATCGAACAGAAACGGAAGAAACCCAAGGGTCCTTGTCCTGCAAGTAGTGCTACAAACATTAAGTATGCCTATGCAATTTCAATAAGGTCATAATAAAATATGTAATGCATAGTAACTAAAACTTCAACGAGTAATCATACGGTTTGCAATGCATTGAATTTACGTAAAGTCGTTATCGCATAAGTTACGTGCCATATCTAGTGGGCTAAACGCATTATAGTACTTATACATATATGCGAACTTCATACATCTGTATACTTCTTATTATCATTATTTACTTTCCAAGTCAATTTTTATCTAAATTATAACAAATCTAGAAAAAAGTTTTGGTAATTTTATACTATCGCAGCCCCTTCGTTTTTTGGCTTTAGAAAATCGAAAAATCATCCGATTTCGATGATTCTTTTTTTAATTTTCGTCTTTATGGCGGACTTTATGGCGGTCTTTATGGCACCTCAAGATTTCATATAGTTTTATAACTTTAAATGCACCATAAACGCACTTCTTTGAATATAATCGTTCATAACTTTTTTTTAAATAATCATATGAAGTTGTTATTTTTTTTTCATAATCTTCATAAAAAACCTAACATTTAAAAAAGAGACATTGAAAAATGTTTGTTTATTAATTTTTTATCTCACTTAAAGTTTTTATATAGTTTTCTGACTTTAAATGTTATCATAAACGCTCTAGAAAATCGAAATAAATATAAAAGTTTCGGTATTTTATTGAGTGTAAGATCGAACGAAGCGAGCTCGGGACTTAGGGTATACCGACTCGGGCAAGTTAGGCTAGAAGGAGATGGTATATATGGAGATGAGGTAATAGTACTACGTCAGAAATAGTACTACGTTGAGTGGCATGATGCTTTCCTCCCCCAAATCTCTCCCGTAGCGCAGTTGAGGGTAGCCTGGTCGAAGGAGCTGTTGTGTGAGCTGACATTATTCAATGTTTCTTTTTTTTATATGTTTTTTTGTGTAGATTATGAAAAAAATATAACAACCTCATTTGATTATTCCCAACAAATATAATTAGATAATTCCGACGTAAACAATATCTCGATTCTATTTTCAGCTCGCTGATTGATTGACTGCAGTGGCAAGATTCCAGACATTATTGACGATTCAGTGTCGCTTCAAAACCTGATAATAAATTGCTGCCAATTTAACGCCAATACAAACAGCATGAAGCATCGTAGTTCAGAAACTAAGCGCTTATCGTAAATTTAACACTACGCGAAATACCGGAGTTCGAACCTCGCCAGCACAAATTAAATTTAAAGTGTAATTTTGATTGCTTGGCAGTAAAGGAAAATGTTGTGAGGAAATCTGCATGTCTAACGAATAAAAAATTTCAAGGAAACATGTCCTTCAACACACATTGGAGCAGCGCGGACTAATTACTTAGAACCAACACTAGAGAACTTATATATACTCGTAGGCTCTAACATTAAATTTTTCCTTAGCTTTAGAATTTGGGTTTCTCTCAGAAATGAGAGGAGGCCTGTTCAGCAGTGGAACTTATATACTCTAACTTTACATTTGACTTTTATGTCCAAATCGATTATTTACATAAAATTTTTTTTATTCCTTTCTCAATCCGTGCTTGTTTGATATCCATCACGAGTAGATCTAAAACATAAAAATAGTATTTAGCATATACACAGAAAGATTAGTAAGCTGAGGTAGCAGTGGGGTGACCATGTAATTCAAAAAATTGAAAACTGATAGGTAAGAAACGATATCGAGTAGCGAAACGTCGAATTGATTTTCAAACCAATTAAAAAAAATTTAAAAAAATTAACCCGTGACGACGGGAAGTAGTACATCAATATTTGCAGGTGGCTCGAGACTTCAAACCATCGTTAAATCTGGTTGAAAGTTACATAAGACTTTCGCAAAGGACCGAGTAAAGATCAATTGGCCAGAAAGTGTTATTTTAATAGCAATAAATACATTTTTTTAAATATTTTTATTACAATAGGTTCTTATTATATTAAAATCTTATGCTAAAGTCGTTATAATCAAACCGCGTCAGATATACCAAGTTGGAAAGTTCGCATCTCTCTATCTTGCAGCCAGGTGAGCCGGTGTTGCTAAGCCAGTCGATCCTAGAAACATATAGATATATAATTAAATTATACCCATTGAATAAAATAGCTTCACACGTGGTAGTCATGCTGTAGCTATATAGCGAATAGGTCGGCTCGACCGGGGAAACATCACGCTCTCACGGAATATTAGTGTAAAATAGCAGCTTAATACTGCTGTATTTCGAGCGAGTGAATGACTTAGCCCTCAGAGGTGACAACGCATCTGCATTTTGGCTCTTAATTGAGTATAGATGTAGATGTCTATGGGTCACGGAACCACTTACCGTCAGGTGGACTAAGTGCCCTTTTGTCACTCTTATTCTAAAAACAAACTAAAAATAAATTGTATTATATAATAATAATAATAATAAATGCTTTATTTCTTTAAAATTACGTACATAAACAATATAGTAGATGGGTCCTCCTAGTAAGTTTAAAAGAAAACCTGTGTCAGGAGTCCCCGCTCTTCCTTATCTATAACAGTCATAAATAGGAAAGCATTTCAATACATTGTTATAAATTACACGATTTATATTGTTCTAAATTAGCGGTGATTTAAATAAGGTTAATAATGTATTACTTGAACGTATTTAAATGAAAACGCAAATGGTATGGGTGATTAATGGTGTGTGTGTGTGTGTGTCTGTGTATGTGTGTGTGTGTGTGTGTGTGTGTGTGTGTGTGTGTGTGTGTGTGTGTGTGTGTGTGTGTGTGTGTGTGTGTGTCTGTGTGGTTGTGTGTGTGTGTGTGTGTCTGTGTGAACGATGTATGTGTGTGGTATGTGTGTGTTGATTAAATGATTTACATTTTACGAGGTATGGTGTAAAAGTGCCTCAAGGTCTTCGTAATTTTGTGTTTTTAACCAAGTAGTTACAGATTTTTTGAAATCATGGTGAGTTGTTGTATGAATGTCCAACAAACCGTTAATGCTGTTGTAAAGGTACACAGAATTTGCAGTATATTGGCGTTTGGCAAACACTGTTTTCGTGCGAATAGGTTTGGTTACATATTTTTTTCTTCTTCTATTATCTACAATGGAGTCAAACTGTATAGTTTTACGAATTTTTAGAACAGTCACTAAAATGTATAACTGTCTCACGGTTAGCACGTCGCAAAATTTATATAATGCTGTAGTGGGGTACCAGCGTGGTTTGAAATACATGACTTTAAGAAGGCAGCGTTGACCACGTTCAACCTCCAAGAATTTGCTTTTAGTAGCCCCACCCCATACAGAAATGCAATATCCTAAGACAGATTGTACCAAAGTAATGTATATCTGTTTTATTAATTTGTGTGATGTAATATGTCTCAGGGTTTTGAAAATCCAAATAAGTTTACGCACTCTTTCGGTCATATATTCAATATGTGGATGCCAGGATAGTCGATGATCCAATATTAATCCTAAGTATTTAGTTGATGTAACCTTCTATAGCGTTTTGCAATTGCAATTTGAGTAATCTAGTTTATCGCATTCATGTAGTTTTAATGTAAAATCGTTTTTTGGTTGATTTCTTTTATTTATTGAGAAGCACATATAATTTGTTTTATTAATATTCAAAGTTAGAAGGTTCATTTTTAGCCAGTCAGAAATTTTACAAAGACCGCTTTGGGCCGTCTCGTATACCTTGTTCCACGAAGTTCCAGAAAAAACTATCGCAGTATCGTCAGCGTAAGAGTAAATTTTACCACCTTCAATGTTGAGATTGGTGAGGTCGTTTATATAGATTAGAAATAGAGTTGGGGCAAGTACACTCCCCTGGGGCACACCGAAGGTTATGTCCATGTCTTTACTCACGTGAGTACCAATTTTCACTCTTTGGGTGCGCTCTCGTAGGTAACTACTTAGCAATTTAAGCTGTACGCCTCGGACACCGACGCACTCTAGTTTATGTAAAAGGGTGGGAAGGGAGACGGTATCGAAAGCCTTTTTCAAGTCTAGAAAAACAGCCATGCATTTATTTCCTCGGTCGACTTGATCCGTAATAAGGGACGTGAAGGACAATACTGCGTCCTCCGTAGATAATCCAGGCCTAAAACCAAACTGTGAGCTAGAGATAATGCTGAATTTTTCTAGATAATTAAGCAGTCGAGTATTAAGGAGTTTCTCAATGACTTTTGAAATCACGGGTAAGACCGAAATAGGTCGATAATTATTGATGTTACATCTATCCCCACCCTTATGAACCGGAGTAACAATAGATTTTTTTAGGGGTGCAGGGAACACACCTAGTCTAAAGCTTTGATTTGCAAGATGACTTATTATGGGCGCAACAATAGGGCTACAGATCTTAAGGAATTTGATCGATATATTGTCCCAACCAGGGGCACTATCTGTTTTGAGACTCATGATCACACTATTAACTTCCCCAGGATCAGTCTCCAAGAGGACAAAAGATGTGTTATGTCGTTTTAGCGTGTTAATGGGAGTGCTACTTTGTGAGACATGAGATATACCTTTCATGACATCGTTAGCTAATTGTTTGCCAATATTAGCAAAATAACAATTTACCAAATTAACAGAGTCAGACGGTGTTGGTCCTATATTAAGTAGTTCTTTGCAATGTGATTTAGAAACTTTGAAACAGGTTACCGTTTTTATTCTTTTCCAGAGTTCTTTGGAACTTTTGGCAGCAGTAGTTAATAGTTCTCTGTCATATTTTCATTTTAGTTTTTTTATAAGGTTATTAACGTAGTTTCTATATCTTCTGAAAGTAATTTTTAGAGTTTCATTTGATGGATCGGACCTAAGCTTCAGCTGCATTTTATTTCTATTTCTGATACACCTAAGAATTCCATATGTGATCCAAGGTTTAATATTCTGCTGGTTTTTGGTAACATATTTTATTGTTTTACTCTCTTCCAATGACTCTGCAAGCCATAGCAAAAGGCGCTTGGTAACTAAGTCGGGATCTTCGCAAAGAAGCAAAGACTCCAGGTTCTTTTGGAGCAGCCTCTCATATGCAGTTTCAAAATTTACATACTCAATGATTTTTTGATTAATTGTTTTGCTTTTAAGTTTTGATATGCACATGAATATAGTCAGATGATCTGTAAGTGTGGTATTTAAAACAGCGATATTTGCGGAAAATTTTATTTTGTTTAATTTTACCATGAAGTGGTCAAGGCAGCTGGATTCTCTCGTGGGCAGTTTGTGACCAGCAAGTAGGCCGTGACTAGCTAGCGTATTTAGATAGTCTATTCTATTATTGCGGTCATTAGTTTGTTCGTTCCTGCACTGAATGAGGTTGATGTTGATGTCTCCAGAGATGACTATGTTGCCCTTTTGTCACTCTTATTCTAAAAACAAACTAAAAATAAATTGTATTATATATTAATAAAATTTCAAGGATTTTTACCTGTATATTAGAATTTTTAAACGACATACCCATTTCTCTCTGATCTTTCTAAGGTTCAAAGTATACTCTCCCGACGCAAGGAAACTAATTGGGACACGGATCGTAATCCGATGAATCAAGAACATCTCATCACTTCATATCCGGTTTCTATGTTTAAAAAACGCATAATGTCCCTTACGACTCGTGCAGTACAGGTGCACAAAGTACTTACTTACTAACGGCGGCTTAATTTGTTTTCTTTAATAACTGGTTTCTACATTAAAAAAAAATTATTGTTCCTTACAATTTGTTTCACTGGATGATTTCTTATATTTACGCGAACACTACAACACATTTAAATAAAACTAATTTTTACGGATTTTATCGCGTATATTAACATATTTTATATTTCCAACGTTTCTAGTACTTCACAGCACCCATGGTTCCAGGTACATATAATGTACTCTGTAACCCATGGTCACGGACTAAGGTGTTCGACGTTCCTATGTCATAGTTAACCTCGGCTACCTCCAGATTAAAATTATTAATTTTTGTTCCGAACTTATAGTACCTTGAAGAGCAGCAGTACTTGGTTTAGAATTTAATTTTATTAGTTATAGGATCCCAGCAGATGGTAGCACCCAACCAAATTCTCTACTGAAATAAGGATGTTTTTCATTTCAATAGCCTCGCGAATCATCCTTGGGAGGAATGAGTAAAGAAGGAGGATGCTGTAAAGTACCTACTCGAAACATCGCGTTGGGCATATAAAAGAAGTTAATATACGCGATAATATCCGTAAAAACTAGTTTTATTTAAATTGTTTCACTGGACTTCTAATAAGTAAAACATCATTTATCAAACAAAATACTGGTTTAAAAGCTTAAGATAGCTTAAATTTGTTAATAAAAGGGATTGCAATTGCGAAAGGAGCGTTTCTTAATTTAACGAATTGGGCATTAGTCGTCTCCTATATTATTTGTAGAATACGTAGTTAAATTAAAGAAATGTTTTAACTACATTGAGAATATTCTAATTATTTTACGAAGCCTTTTTATGAAATTTAAAAGAAAATATTTTGAAATTATGGATATGAGAAAACATTTAAAGAAAATATTTTAATGTAGTTGGATTTTAAATTTCAATAGATATGTTTACAAATAGTTAAGATATATGGAGATTTAACCTAACTTTATGTAATATTTCATTATTACAGCTGATACAATTCCAACTGATATATAATACAGAGTATTTTAGTGTATCAATATGTTAGGTTGTCAATATTTTAGTCTGGTGTTCGTGTAAATAAGAAATCATCTTACACATTTCTCAACGCTAACTGTTAAACAATTTGTCGAAAATTTCAAATTGAGCAAATAAAAAACAGAAAGCACACATCTATACTTTTTATAAAACCAAGTACACGTACATTTGATCCAACTCTGCCTTCCTTCCTTGCAATTTTCCAACAATTGTGCCCTTTTTTGTGTTCTTCACCCAGCCGGTGATACCGAGCTGCAATGCTAGGTCTTTGCAGTATTTAGTGAAGAAACATCCTGAAACAGGATATATACCTACTTGTTTATTTTATTTACCTTTTATTCGATTGTTTTTGTATTACCCACTTTCCTTTCTTTCTCTTTTACTTTGATCAACTACAAATTAATGTGATTGTTTATCTCCGTTGGTCTTATGACATTGCAACAGATGAAACAAATGCTTGGCTTTTTATAAAGAATGTAAGTACCAATTAATTAGGTTCTGTACTCGAATCATGTCCATTATTAAAACATTCATCATTATCATCATTTTCAAAATCATGACAACCCATCATAACTCCACTGCTGAATATATACCTCCCCAGATAACGCTCGTTGCATTCCTGAGCCACCTGCAATCATCGACTTCCTGCATCTAGTATCCAGGTCAACACCCCATCTAGTAGAAGGCTGTCTCTTACACTCCGCATTGATAAAAGGCTTCGGTAAGCAGTACAGGACGGCCATTAGGAGGATGGGGATAGGGATCGTAATGTAGTAGCAACGTATTTTTCAGAACGTTCAACGTACTTCTGGAGAAAGGTTTAAACTATCGGAAAGAGGGCGTGGGGAATCACGAGTACCTTATACATTTGAAAGTAAATAATTACAAAAAGGATCACCCACACATATACTGGATGACCTTATTTACCGTCTGGAAAAAATAGAGTGTAGGTAACGTTGTGACACGTGAACGGATTAGAAGCCTATGGTACTGATATTTTACAAAAAATAAAAACAACAATTTTGAATTAAACGTTTGAAATTTTTTTTGAACCTGTGACTTTGCGGATTGACAAGGTAAAAAATGCTTACTAAATTTATAATTTTATGCCGTTCGTAAAGTAGGGTGGATATGATTTGAATTTCGATAGATTGTTATTAATATATTTATTAAAATAGTTTAATAAATTAATTAGTTATAGATACTTACTTACTTACTTATCTTCACGCACAATCCCTAACGGGGTAGCCAGAGAGAACAGATCGCCAAGTGTCACGATCCTTACATACCTCTTTCGCTTCTTTCAGGTTCATTAATTTCTTCATACATGCACGTCTAGGTATCCGAGTACTCTTGACCTTCGCCTCCTCGAGCAATTTGCTCACATGGTCTTCGAAAGTTAGTCTCGGTCTACCTCGACACCTTTTAATATTTACTCTCGATCTATATATTTTCTTCACCATTCGGTCTTCACTCATTCGCTCAACGTGCCCAAACCATTGGAGTACGCCCCTATCAATTTTTGTGATAAGGTCATCTTTCAATCCTGCCATATTGCGAATCTCTTCGTTTCGCTTTCGATCGGCTATGGTAACGCCACACATTTTACGAAGAGATCGCATCTCCACAGCATTCAACTTGCTTTTATGCTTCTTCTGGCATACCCAGGTTTCGCTGCCATATAACAAAGTCGGTACCAACACTGCGTTATGTATTGCAAGGTGTGCACTCTTCACCACGCCTTGCCTTTTGACTAATGCATTCAGGGCACCATTGACTTTGTTTCCGGCAGCGACACGCCTATCCACATCTAAATCACATCTTCCATCCCGGCTGAAAGCACTCCCCAAGTATACAATTTCATTTACCTGTTCTAGACGTTCCTGATTTACCCATATTTCACATTTCGTTCTCTCTTCGTCCTTTTCAAATACCAGAACCTTAGTTTTATTAGCATTCAAACGGAGACCTTTAATTTCACATTCCTCTTTCATACACGTGACTAATGCCTGCAGTTCTACTTCTGATGGTGCAATAAGCACTGCAACATCAGCATACAGCAGACAATTTACTTTTATGTCACCCAGTTTCACACCCGAACAGCTATTTTTCAGCTTCTGTAAACAGCTGTCGAGATACAGTATGAACAGCCAGGAAGACATGACACAACCCTGTTTTACGCCCGCTTGGATGCTAAACATGGGTAACAGGTCATGCCCTACCCGCACACAGGCTTTACAGTCATAGTAAAGTGACTGCACAGCCCTTAGCAATCGACCATCCACACCATATCCCGGCAACAGTTCCCACATTTTCTTCCTTATAACCTTATCAAATGCTTTCTCCAGATCCACAAAAGCACAGAAAATCCTCTGGTTAACACTCAGAAGCTTTTCCGTGATCATGCGGAGAGAAAACATTTGATCCGTGCATCCTCTTCCAGGTCTAAATCCGCATTGTGCCTCCCATAAGAATCTTTCCGATTTCTCTTGCATCCTACGTGTCAAAACCTTCGAGTAAACTTTACTTGCTAAACTGGTCAAGCTGATCGCCCGATAGCACCCGCAGTCAAAATGTGAACCTTTACCTTTATATAAAGGCACAATGACCGCGGATCGCCAATCATCCGGGACATCTCCCGTCCGCCAGCACAAGTTGCACAGCAGACGAAAGCTGTCCCAGACGCGAGGCCCACTGTACTTGACCATTTCAGCAGTAACTCTGTCTAGTCCCGCAGCCTTACCACATTTCAAACTTCGAATCGCACGTTCAATCTCTTTCATGCTGATGACCTCAGTGTCATCGAGGTCCGTGTCTGGCGTGCCAGTCATGGCGTTACCCCCGGATCCTTCACTAAGATCATGACACGCATACATTTCTCTATAAAATTCACTCTATCGCTGCATGACGTCCGATTTTTCTGAGAGGACGTCATTGGTTCTCGAAAGCACTTTGTTCATTCTTAAGGCTGTCGCATCACTCCAGGACCCTCCAACCTCTTTCCAGAAGAGTTTGGAGTTTTCCTTAAAGCTGTGCGACAACCTCTCATCCGCTTCTGTTCTACACCTTTCACGTACTTCCTCAATCAATGTTTTCGCATGAACTTTCTGCAACTTATATCTTTCTTTCATCTTCTCTATCATATGCTTATCGTTACTAGAGGCCAAGTAGTCTAACCATGCTTTTTTTTCTTTTTTACAGCTTCTCTCACTTTATCATTCCACCATGCATCTCTTCTTTTACTACTACCTCTTTTTGTCGTTCCACATACTTCTTCCGCTGCACTTACCATTCTATCCCTAAGGTTCTGTCATGTTCTCTCCACACATTCTTTCCTGCCATCGATGATGTCAAGCTTTTCGGCTACCCTCGTGTGATATTAGTCCCTAGTATCCGCTTCCTGAAGCTTCCAGCTTCGGATGCGACAGACCGACTGTGGTTCTGTTACTGCCGCCCGATAGCGCCAACTCGCGAACAAATCCTTAAATCTAGTAATTACTAGATAGTGATCCGTTCCCAGGTCAGCACCCCTGAACACTCGTGTATCCATCACCTGTTTTCGCAGTCGGTCATCCACCAGGAACAAATCAATCATACTTCTCTCATTCTTTCTTTTTCTAGTGTACATATGGATTTTCCTGTGATTAAACATAGTGTTTGTCACAAGAAGACCCTTTTCCTTGCATACAGCCAGTATAAGTTTGCCAGCATCATTAACCCTTTTATCGCCAAACTTTCCAAGCACCGACTCGTATCCTGGTCGAGCGATACCTACCCATCCATTCAAATCACCACATACAACAGTTCTTTTGTTTCCCTTAACCAAATCTAGAACTTCTCTTACATTCTCCCAAAATTCCTCCAGCTCAGCCCTGGACGACGAAGCTACCGGTGCATAAACAGCCAAAAGGAATAACTTCGTCAGTCCCAGTTTAAAGCGAATCCAGAGAAGTCTTGAGTTCACAACCTTGTATGCACCCCCACTCCCTGGCAGGCGTTCTCGCTTTCCGGGACTCCGGACCATATAGCTAACGTCCCGCCAGGGAGCTCTTCAGTACCACTGCCTTTCCGTTTGGTCTCCGACATACACACGACATCTAATTCTCTTTCTTTCATTATTTCGATCAACTCATTCGTCTTATCTCTCATGCCGCCTCTAACATTCCACGTGCCATCTCTGCACTCCGTCCTCCACCTTCCGCCGTGTCGGGCTGTGCGTGACGGGTGGCGGTCCCCATCGCCGCTTTGCGCGCTGCATTCCACACCAACGTGGACGAGCTGGTGTGCGTCGCCTTGGGGGGACGCCCTAACTCCCGTTTGCATGGGTGCGCAGCTGTGTAGAATTGCTTTTTTTTAATTATAGATAATAACTTAAAGATTTTAATTAATTTATCTAGTAAAATATCAGTACCACTATAGCACTGCTATTTTACTGGATAAATTCTTCTCCGGTCTTTCCTCTTCTTCTCCGTTCACATGTATTTTCCCGACTGTAAAAAAGGTCATCCAGTATAATTCATATTTTTAGTTAGGCAATGAACGTGTTAAAGACTTTATAAAGGCTTGCGGCGCGGCCCACAAAGGTTTCATCTATGTATGATTTATCAATGTGGCGTTATTTATGTTTAAGGTAACCAAATCTTCAAGATTTTCGGATAAAATGTAGCCTAGATCACTGCTAGTTGATCTATATATATATATATATATATATATATATATATATATATATATATATATATATATATATATATATATATATATATATATTATATATATATATATATTAGAAAAGATTCATTACAATCGGTTCGGATTAGCTTGAACAAACAGTCAGACAGACAAAAAACGATACAACTTAGGGACATTTTGGAAAAGAACTTACTCTTTTCTAAAAGGACGACAATTCCCATCATACTGCGGTTGTTCATAGGCGGCGGTAGTCACTTACCATCAGGTGAGCCGCATGCTCGTTTGCCCTCTATTCTATTCTATTCAGTGCACACATTGCACCTGATGGTATGTGGATGCTGTGGCCCATAGACGTTTAACTTCAATTAAGAATCAAAATGTAGTTGCGTCGTTACCCCTGAGGAGTAAGATGGAATGCCACGATTCTAGTAAAACGAGTCTCCGGTTCTCTACACTCACCATACGAAACACAGCAATATTAAGCTGATATTTTACGCTGGTATTCTGTAAGAGCGTGGTCCTTCCGCGGTTGAGCTGGCCCATTCGTACTACAAACATAATATAACTCAAAAACTACAGCCTTGTTTGCATAGAGGCTTTGTGA